GTTAGGGCGGCTAGGAGCTGGAACCAACTTCCAAGGGAAGTGGTGCTGGCCCCTACCCTGGGGGTCTTTAAGAAGAGGCTGGATGCCTACCTGGCTGGACTCGTTTGAGTCCCGTTTCTCTTTTTGGGGTTTTTTGTTGTTCTCCCGCCCTGGCAGGGGGTCGGGCTAGAAGATCTACTAGGTCCCTTCCGACCCTTAATCTATGAAATCTATGAGTGAGTTCTTCAATAAAAGCATGAACAATATGAAAAATGTAACATTTAAACAATTCTACTTGGCTGGTAATGTGTCAGAAGCTAAATCAGGGGTGCTTAACCTCCAGCCCACAGGCCATATACAATGCACAACATTATTACATCTAGTCCACAGGGCTCCCCACAGGTTGGAAAATTTGGTGGTGGGGGGAGCAGTGGACACATTCCCCCACTGCCAAATTCCCACATGCTCCTCCCCCACCACGGCCAGATCTGGCTGAGGCCATGCTTCCTTCTCTCCAAGATGTTGTGTTGTGACCAGGTAGTTGGCCCACCAGGTCTCCCCCTGCCCCTACCTTGCCCCCAGGGCTGGATTAGACAGGACTTCCCTGCCCCCCTCTCTGCTGCCAGAAGTGGCCCCTGCACTCATCCCAGGTGTCAGATGGGGATCACTGGACATATCTGGCTGATGAATGGACTGGGCAAGGCCTATCCAGCCTGCCAAGGAGAACCACTGAGCTAGTGTCAAAGCCTGTCATAAAAATAACAGTTAAACAATTCCAGACCTGCTGATGGTACAATTTAACCTACAAAACTGTCATTTACAGTCCAAAGGAAATTGATTAGACTTTTCCAAGTATAGCATCCAGGGAGACCTAGGAGCTGGTTTTAATAGAATACATTTCCTACTGCCATTGTGTGTCTGTTATTCATATTTGAGAAGATAAGAGTGGTAGAAGTTTTTCACTATTAGCCCCAGGCAAATGGCTTCAATGACTCTATCCTAAAATGCTTACAAAGAACATCTGTAATAGTTTGACACTGAGTTAACATAACCTAGCAGTCAAGCTTTGGTAAAATAGGTATTCTGACCACCTGGAAGTCCAGCCCCAGTTAGAGGCAGTCAAGCATGTGTTCAACAAATTTGTCTTCTATAAGCCAGATGCAAAAGGAATTTGAGAGCGCTAGTCACATTATAGCCTGAAGTTATGCACCTTTATTTCTTATGCAACTCAAACTGTCACCTAAACATTCATTTATATGCATGTGAAGGCCTATCAATACACTTCAGTGCATGTATCCCAGGCTTTATGTGAGAATGATCCTATGTATTCCAATGTATAAGCAGCATGCATAACTGGAACCTCAGTCATACCACTGGAACTCAGTAACAAGTATGTCTTCTCAGTAAGCAGTTTCATTGGCTTTGGGCTTGTCAAGTTCTGCTGGCAGACAGATGGAAAGCTACCAGACCCCACACTCGCCTGTGCAGCTTCTGGCAGCTCTATTTCATCAGCTCTGCTGGAAGGATATGAAGTGTGCCATGGGAAGACAGATGCTGAGGGGACAGGGGCAGCATTGGGCAGAAGACACAGGCACATCTATGCCACTGCTACCTACAGAAGCTGCCTTCTGCTTGTAAAGCTGATGTTACTCTGCCAGCATAAAGCAGTTCTGCTGTTCAACACAGATTTGAACTGATTAGATTTATATCCTACCCTGTCTGAAGGGCTCAGAAGGGTTATTATTTTAAATTGTTAAAAACATTACATGACATGCCTGAAAGAGTGGGGGCCTTGAGCAAGATGGCATGTACTGCAGACTGCATTGGAATTACAGGACCTAAAAATGTCACAGCTGCCCAAACATTAGCAGTTACACTGGTGCATGACTGTACTGAACTGCCTGAGTTGGCATATCACAGAGAGATGCAAGGGAACAACAAAAGTTTCCCCAGGATGCATGGGCCTCTTTTATTGCATGGCCCCTGGATTTCCAAACCCATGCTCCTGCCTCACCTACCCAATACATCTGTATCCAAGATTGGAAAAACCTGCCAATGCATGGAAAAAGGGCTGGAGAGAAAGCATGGCATGGAATCAGGCAGGGCAGGACAACGAAGAACAGGAAAAGCCCTATTTGATAGGACTATGGGCTACAGGAACAACCGTACAGGGAACTGTCTCCATATACACCTGCCTTAGAGTAGACAGGGCTGACACTCAAAGAGGTCAGGAGAAAGCAAAGAGCAGGTAAACTGATTTGGTTAAAGGCAGCAAACAAAAAGCACACAGAAATCATGAGACTGGCTGGACACAGAAGAGGGGAATGGGAGGGGCTCACTATTGTATCAGTTCATCTTCAGCCAAGCCCTCAGAGTGAGGGCACATCCTATGGGTGCAGAGAACTGGGACACTACGGATAATTCTGCATTCTGAAGAGCCAGAACCCTCTGCTCTCTGCACCTGTCTGCAAGGCTACAAGCTCCCCCGACTTTGACTCTGGCTTTCTCTACCCTGAATCTCATATAGCATAACAAAATGTGGACATGCTTATTGTTTTACCAGGAGAACCTGAGTAGTATAGCAGCCATATAGGACAGTATAGCAGCCAGATCATATGGTTACTATGATCTGGTTACTATAGTATACATGGCACAGGGGGTCCGGGCATGGGCTGCATGCAGTGCCCCTCACTGAGCACCCCACTCCCCTATGCTGCCTGTAGGGATGGTCCAGTCCACGCACTGCAAGTAGTACACACCATGCCAGCCTTGTGTGCTGGACACACACATTAAGCCCTATGCTGGGCTGGGCTGAGCTTGGCACCACAGAAACTGCACAGGGGGTTGGTAGTGGTCCTGCCTACAGACCACCCCAGAGATCCTTATCCAGCCTATGGTACCAGATGGGCTTAAAACCCAATTTTAATGCAGCTGATTTCTGTAGAAAAAAAACCCAAACTCCTATGTGGCCATTTTCTCCTCCACTACCAAGGTGAGACGGGGATGGGAAACAGACTTGAAAAAATAGAATTGCAAATAAAATCAAATATGGAGAAGTGTGTGAAAACATCATAAGACAACATGGTTGTAACTACTTTTTCTCACTACTTTCTTCAGTCAATTCAAGAATGTGGCTATGCTTTGCTGTCACTGATAGAGGAAATGAAGAAAAAAAAAAAAAAATCTCACGGTGTGAATGAGGCTGCTTAAAGTTGCATCCATTCAGTAAGAATTAATTTATGGACTTACACCTATTAAGGGGAACCCAGGGGCTGCTGGTTAGAATAAATGTTTAATAATATTAATTAACTGAAAATTAATCTGTCATTTCCACATTAATCCGTCATTTCTGTATATAAAGAAACTTTATTAAAAATATTCAGTCAAAAAACCTTTGGAAAATTAAGCAGGTACCAAACAGTAATGCTAACTCAGGAAAAAAACTGAAAACAATTTAAAGTAACGTAAACATTTATCTGATTAATGTGTACAATGGCAAGAATTATTATCCCTGAACAATAATACATTTGAAATATCAGGATAAACAACATTTACTTTGAATTTACACAGATATGAACATGATATTGTGGTAGCTGTTAAAAGAAAGTGAAACAATGTATGGCTGGGGAAATTCTCCCTTGTAAGATTTTGTGAGAACAATAAACATTTTACTTGAATCTGAGAAGTAAAATTAAATGTTACTCAAGCTGTCAACTTACTTTACTAGCTTAATGCATATTTATCTATACAGTCTGTTTCCCTTATGTTGCATGCATATCACTTTTGCGTGCATATGATTTTCATCCATTTAGATATTTGCCAAGCATGACATGTATTGTGGATCTACCACTAATAACTACTTCATAAATTGAGTTATGTTTATGCATCCTGATAAACTGATTCAGCATCCTCTATTGAGACTCTTTTTACACTTGTTGACAGAGTTTTAAAGTGACTAGTTTGGGTGGTATTTTAGATTAGGAGGCCAAAAAAGACTTACCAGCAACTGCAAAAATTTAGTTTTTGGTGCCCAGTGCAGGGCGGAATCCCAATCACAGAGACTGGTGCTAAAGCTCCTTATACTATGTATTATGAAAGGTAGAATAAAGCTGTTTTGCAGCTGTTGCTCACTTTTTAAACAATTGTGAACACCTTGTATACAACACTATAGTAGAGCGCTCATCTAGTAAGCAGATTATGTCAGTTAAATTCCCTCTAACTTGAGGGAATTTATATCCATACCTGCCACTTCCCAGAACCATATTCTAACCACTATATTGTATACCATTCTGGACATGCGGCATATGCAGAAGCAAAGCCATGTGTGTCTAGGGAGTTTTCAGATTGAGCAGAGAGGTATCTACTGAATTGCAGGTTATTTCAAGGTTTGGCAGCTGCTAGAGCAGGCTACCCCTCCTCCCTCCCATCCCCTTTACTTTTGGAGTGAGGCAGACTTTAGATGCCCAAGTCCTGTTCAAGGCACTTAAGTCTCTTGGTTTTGGATCTGGCCCAGAGCTCCTTACCCAAGACAGCCTGATGACTAAACACTGTGCACTTTTTCCATTAGAAAATACCAAAATTTCCCTCTCTATTAAGAGCAAAAAAAAAGCCGGGGGTGGGGCGCAGGGAAGAGGGGTGGGCACAGCAACAAGCAGCTTTCATTTCCATACATGAAATGAACTAACTGGTAATATTTAATATGAGAGTACAATATAGTTTTCCATTACTTATATCCAAAAAACAAAGATCCCACAATAAGTTGCATATGTTTTTTTTAAATAAAGAGGTTTTTCCAAGAAGCAGTATGCTAAGCTTTTATTGGAGAAATATGAATGCATATCAATTTTTAAACTAAACTTTCTGCTGCAGCTTGCTTTTGTCACAGTGCTGACAGAAACTGGTCATGGAGTCACTATATTTGGTCATGAAGAATTACAAGAGCACAGCATGATTTTCTGGTGACATTTACTCTTTTGAGCCAATTTATTCCAGTTATCAGCACATCAAACTTCAAGCTACTCTGGAGGCTCCTCTCAGATCCAGAAAGCTCCTCAGCTATAGCTCACAATTTCATCAGAAATTAAAGTAGGCCCAGTAAATTATTAGGTAACAGTTTAGAACCTTTCTTTTAATGCATTTTAACATATGGAATATTATGTTTATATTACTAATTCAGAATCAATGGTTTATCAGATTCCACATGTCAATAGTTTAGCAGATATTACAGGAAGAGAAACAATACTGAAGTTCAACCAAACTCGCCTCCTTACATTTAAATGTTTAAAAGGGTTCCGAATTGCCATTCATCACAATATTACTTTTACAACTGAGTTAAGTACAATATTTAAAATTAAAGTAACAAATATTACCAAATCATCCAATTAGTAAGAATGCACCACTACCTGTATATCAGTTCCCCCTGCAATATCCAGTTGCAAGAGAGCTAGGCATGGATGGATCAGGCATGAATTTTTTGAATAGATTCACATTTTGCAAATGGAGAATAGAATCTTAATGAAGTTTGAAATAGAATGTTGCAAGTCAAAGTCCACAAAGAACCTACAGCAGTTAAAGTTGAACCAAGTTAGTTACTTCCTTGCAGAGGCAGACTTCTTGACACCTAGAAATTCAGAAAATAGGAAAGAAAAGTTTTCAGCTTGCTTTTGTAAAGAAGAATAAAAATACTCAGCATTTTGTGTCATTAGAACTATTAAAGATCTTGCAAGACAAGTGTGTTACTAAAAGGGACATGGTGAAGACAGATGCGCTCCATGTGAGGGTTTGCCATCTGTTTTAGAGTAGAACAGAATGAGTATATGCAAGCCTTCTATACTTTCTTGATAGTCAGCTAATCAACCAACCAGCTCTTCTGAAAGGGAAGGTCTCCTTGGATAATCCAGATGCCTTAAGCACAAGGCAGTTAATAAGAGAACTTCTTTAGTTATTTATTTTCACAGGATCACAACTTTGGGTAGTAGGTTCTGGCAGCCAGGTAGGAGAACAGAATAACTACGGGAAATGGATTTCTCAAATCTGTCAGTGGGAAGCTTCTGGTTGAAAGCTGTTTCAACTATGGAAAGAGGGCTGGCTGCCTTATAGGATAATCTGAGACTTCTTATGATGCTCGGCAGTTTCTCAGACAACAGAATGCAGGCCAGGAAATGAGCTGGTTTAAAAGGCAAGATGAGGTCTAGGAATGGAATGCTCTGCATACAACCAAAGGGGAAAGAGACAACAATAATGGGTAGTAATGGTTGTTTCCTTTTTCCCCTGTTCCAGGACAGGCTGCCTTCAGAATTAATCCTGGTCTAGAATACTTGGCAATCATTTGGTCAAGATTCCCCAAGACCCATGCCCATCCTCAATGGTCCCTACTATTCACAGTCCAGAACACCATTTTGGTGGAGGGTGAAAAGACAAAACTCCTGCCCCTCAAAGTAGCAGAAAATGCATAATTATCTTGTCTTATATAAAATGTCAATGTTCCATAAGTTTATGGGAAAGAGGAAGAAACTACAAGTTTCTCATCGTTAGATATGAGATACAAGATTGGAAGTTTGAGAGAAAACAAGTACTGCAATACTCTGTGCAATTAGTCCTTCAATACCATATTTAGGGTTCATTGGTCAGAGTAACTTTTGGTTCAAATTTTTCTCCAAAGATACTCACATACTTAGCATTTTAAACAAGACTACTTGTTTACTCCATACCTGTCAAGACTACATTAAATTTGCAGTGCCATTTTAGCGCCATATATTTTAAATTTAATTCAGAGGCTGATAACACACCTACCTCACTGCATTATTTTACAGAGCCTGCTTTGTTATTCCTGCTTCAAGTCCTGAACTCTTCCACTAAACTTCACACCCTTTCATGCGGCTCCTCTTTTAACCAGGCTAGAAAAACAGCATCCACTCACCTGCCTTCCACTCCTACTCGTTCAGTGATCCTTGCCTAGCCACTTACTCCTCTTCCAGTCTGTTACTTTTATTCTTTCCCATACCATGCTAAGCACAAGAAACAAGGTCCCAGGATCCAACACACACACACACACTAACAATATCAGCATACCTACTACTAATTTCAACCCTAGCTCAACTCTATTTTTTCCTCTCCTGAAATGTGTGTGAAGGAAAGAAGAAATTATAGCATGAGCTGCATTTTCCAAAAGGATTTTTTAAAAACCAAGATCTATTTCTTTTTCATCCTTATTACAGCATAAGGCATTTGACAAATAAAACAATTCTTATAATTCACAATACAGGTTTAACAGTGCACACGGATATTAGAAAGAGTCTGTTACCTTAAGGGAATTAACCCAGGAGTGATATAAGCATCACAACTCCCATAAATTGAGTGAACAGCAACACAGGGGTGAGAAACGACCAAACAGGCCATAATGCAACGTTGAAACTGTTAACAAGAACAAGCAGCTTCAGTTTTGTTTCCATTGTCTGATACTGTTATATCAATAAAATTTAAAAATGACTCAAATAAAAGCCTTACTAAAATAAATATTTTTCTCTATACAATGAAATATTCTTTGTTATTACCTGAAGGGCAAGTATAAAAAGCCATCTTATTAATTACACATCAGTAAATTAAAGCAGATAGAGGGAAAAAAAAATTGCCTCCAATAAAACATTTACCTACTACTTTATATAACAAATACATTGAATCTATGGTGTCAAAGCACAGCACCCTCTCCTTAATTCAGTGATTCTCAATCAAGGTGTTGCTCAAGCTCCCTGCCCAGTTGCTTTCCTCCTGCCTCCCTCCCTTACTAAAAGATAAGCACAAACTCACCTCTGCCCAGCTACTCCTCCTCCTGCCACCCCCTGTCTCTGCCTGGCCCCTTTACAAGGAGATATGCACTGTAATACGTTTTTTAAATGAGATGCTGCTCAATTTTACAAGACAGAGGCATGCCTGGAGTCTAAAAAGGTCAATAACCACGGCCTTAACTCTTTGCCATTCTTACTTATGTAGCATTTTTCACAAAATATTTTGTATGCACAGAGAACAGTTTAGAAAAAGCATAAAAATAGGAAAAATATATCAAGGTACTGTTTTTCATATATAAATGAGAGGCTAAAGGTTTGACTTAATGGTCAAAATTAGCATAGAAATTTTCTTTTTTTATCTTCCTAACCCACTCTTATTTTCAAGGTTTCCATAAAATGTGCCACAGAAGATTACTTACTGACACTGTTTGAAGACTCACGCAACAAAGCACTTTCAGTTTAGAAGACAGCTAGTCTCTAGTTGGAGAGAGCACAAACTTTTCTCCCTTTTCTTTTTTTCTATTTTCATGTACACTTGCTTTGTAAGGAATAAAAGTTTATTAAGGTGTGAGCCAACATACATTTGCTTATATTTTAAGATGGGTTGAATCCTTTTTCTGTTTACAAAAAAAATATGTTCAACATTCAGAAGAGTCATCTGTATTGGGTACTGATTGTGCTGTAAAACAGCATTTTTCAACCTGTGGGTTGTGACTCAGAAGTGGGTTGCAAGAATATATACAAAAGGGTCACAAACAAATTTTAAAAATGGGTTGGTTATCTTTTAAAGGAAAAAAACATGGGAAACCATGGCTTTTCCCCTCCATGCTGGTAGAGTTCCAGCCTCCAAAAGGCTGCTCGGCCCCCACCCCTCCACCTCAAACACTGTGGGGCTGGGGCCTGGGGGAGTAGGTCAGGGGTGAGAGGCACTGGAGCAGGACTGGCCATCAATGTTTACAAGTGGGTCCTGGTACAAAAAAAAGGTTGAGAACCACTGCTATAAACATTTTACCTAGTTTTCCACTTTGAAAATCTGAGTACAACTAAAATCATCATCTGGGGGCAGCAGAAGGGGGGGGTGGGGAATAAATATTAGCTACATACACCATCATTTTTAGCTTAGAAAAATCTTCAGCTATTTTTTTTTACCCTGGTAATACCGGAGGAGTGGGGGGAAGGGATTGAGAAGCCAAGGAGGGGTTGGGGATTCAGAAGCCAAGAGGACTCAATATAGGGTTCAACTGTTACTGGCCTTGTCTCAAATCTGCAATAAGAACTTTCTGATAACAACAAGGAGTTTGCTTTTTCAAGATACAACTGTGATGTGTAAAATTCCTGTTTCAGCACTGCCTTTGTTTTCTTCATAGATTGTTTTTATAGTGACCTGGAATTTCTCTTCCTTACAGCAGTCTTAGAAGGAAGGAATTTTTGTTGTGTTTATGCCTTTTAAAGAGACCCAGGTCTAATGCCCTTACTAAGAGGGAGTAGTATATAATATTCTATAAATAACCCCACTGATTTAGAAATCTACCCGTAAAACAGTGATTCTCAATCTCTTTTAGACTCCAGATTCCCCTTTCTAAACTATTCTAAGTTTAGCAGCACATTATTTTGAAAATTAATTTATACAGTGCATAAAATTGTGTGCACACACACTTGTAATAAACTGGTCTGTTTTGTCAGCTGTACATATAAAGCATGCCTGGGCAGGGCCCTAAGTGCAGAGGGCAGTTGGCCTCTCTTTCACCTGATCTGCCCTGGAATTTAGGGATCTGCCTTCAGGTGTCCCATGGAGTTGCCAGAAGTTGAAGAGATTGCCAGCCAAACTGGAGGCTGCTCTGGCACAGCTGAGCAGCAGAGCTGGGTAAGCAAGGATGAGGGCCTCTGTGTTGCAGCCTCTGCCTGTGGACACTGCTCCAGGGGAAGACCAGGTGGCTCTTTTGTTTCTCAGGGAAAATGCTATCTGGTCCTTGTCTGCCACGCAGCCCAGTTAGCATTTCAGGGCACAGCTCACTAGGGGAAGGTCAGAGGCCTGATCCCTGGGGCTCACAGCCCCCTTCCCCCTCAGTTACAGTATTGGGACCTCCCTTACAGCCAGACTGCAGCAGGGCATCCCCTGCAGCTGCAGCCACTCTGATCCAGCCCCACACCACATCAGCTGGAAACAGAGATGCACAAGGCAGTTTTGCCTAGCCATGGCAGCAGTAGCAGGCACCAGCACCACAGCACCTCTGAAAAGATCTCTAGGGTACTGCAGCACCTTGGTTGAGAACCACTCCTGTAAAAGATGGTATTACTAAAAAAAAGCATAGAGGTGGCAGAATCTAAACTCATGAATATTAAATAAGTGAGCTCTGTAAGACTATATTAATAATGCGATCCACACCACATTAGAAGATGCACAAAAACACGGAATGATTTTTTAAATTAAATATCCATTATGTACTAAATGCGGAAGCCTGTTATACATCAGGAACATTGATAAGATCTATTTAGGTCTTGATTTTTTTTTTGTATTTCTGCAAAATCATAACTTACCAAATTGCTGCTGCAATAAAAGTTGCAGTTGTGACAGGTATCAATACTGGATATTTGGCATCATAGTCTTCAATTCCACAGTACCATTCAAGATATAATATGCAGTAAAAAGCAAGAGATAAACTTGCAACCAACAAACAGCTACCAATGACAAATGACCAACTGCAAATAAATAAATATAAATTAGATCCAACCAAACTTCAATCTACAGCTCTTTACTAATTCAATCAAAATGACAGTACAATAAAAACCCGATTTTTTTTCATATAGGGCTGGCTTGCAGCTCACTTATTTCCCAGCAAGTTGCTGATTTAAGAACAAGTTGCTTGAGTGGCTATCGTGTCTTAACTTGAAAGGGTGCCACTTCACTCAGATGGAACACAGCTACAGGAGGCATCCTTTGACAAAAATCGCTCCAGCAAACACCTCAAACAACTCATCAGTCCTGGGCAGCTATTTGCTGAAGCTTTTTTACGTAAAGGAAATTACTGAGATGTGGCTTTAAACATTACTGTGAAAGATATGGGAAAACATTCTGAATTAAAAAATATATATATTCTACCAAGCAAGGACATGTGTGTCATGTTACATATCCACAAGATTAAGGAAAACTGGGTAAGAATTTATGATTAAAAAAATTAAGTGACTTAAAATCTTTCTTGCACACATTACATTTCTTTAGATTAGCTTTATATTAAAAATTCCAATCTTTGTTTTAAGACAAGTTAAAAAAAGGTAGCCACTGGTTCTTGTAATCAATAACAGTTTTTTAAATAAAGCTTTTATATTCAAAATAAAGAAGTTAGTACAGTAATAAAGCTTGTTGAATAATCTCTATGTATATCTATTTTTAAAGAAAGCAGTTTTCCAGATTTCTTCACTGTAAGAGTCCAAAGAACTGATTACCTAGTCATGAAATCATAGAATAGGGCAGAAAAATAACTTCAACAGATCACTTAATCTGTTACTGCTGCCTACCTTGTTATTCTCCCTTCTGTTTAATTTCAGATATCCAAAAATCTAATCATGAAATAATCCTAACAGCCTAGTACTTGAGCCAAATTCAAGTCTCTCTTCCAGTTTAATCTCAACAGTGCAAACATACAGGAACATGCTTAACTGATGAGAGTATTTCCACTGAAGTCAATGGAATTACCCCAACCATAGTAAAGTTTGGCCTCAGCATTTGCAGGAGGTCCTAGAGAACACTTACATATTGAGATTTTTCTGTCTGTGAAACCAATGGAAGTTGAGTCAATTAATGCAAATCAATACCCACAAACACATCTATTCTATAAAACAGTAATAACATGAAAAGCCATGAAAATATATTTCTTTAAATCTGTTGGATATTACCAAGTCCAGGTATTATTCTTCAGTGTTTACGTGCAATTCCTGTTTTGCTGGTCTTAAAACCAGAAGCCAAAAAGCCTGAAGGTGGAATCTATTCAATCATCGCAGGTTTCTCTAAGCTGTATGTACTAAAGCAATAACAAATTGAACGGATGTTTAGTTTTCATTTTGGAAATGCAAGTGGAGACCTGCACTGACCCAGGCCAGAAAGTGGGGGGGTGCTAGAACACACCTCCCAGCCTGCCCCTGCGGGGGTAAAAGAGCACTCCTCCCCCATACATGACCAGGCAGGTGCAAGTCACTGACACACAGGGGAGAACAAAGCTACCCATCCCAGTCTCAGCCCCCACTCCCTGCCTGCCTAGCCAGCTCCATAAAAAGGATTGGGTCCCGCTGCCGATCACAAGCCCCTGGGGCTGCCCAGCATGTCTAACTGCTGATGGTGATGGGCTCTGCCAGAACACACTGGGCGGCTCGGGTGCTTGCACCAGGCAGCAGGGCCCAATCCTGCACCATGTAGCTATTCCATTTGCCATGTACTGCGAACCCCACAGAACACCTGATGTGTCCCACCAGAACCCAGCACCAGTGGTAGCCGGCAAGATGTGCCAGGAGGCCCACGAATCTTGTGTCAGGTGGCAGGGCCTAATTCTGTCCTCTACAGAGCATGCCTGCTTCTAATGCCTGGCACAAACTCCCACAGTTGCCCAGCACATTTTGCCAGCTGTCAGTGGTGCTGGGCTCGAGCAGGATGCACCAGGTGGCCCAGAAGGTGTGCGCCAGGTGGTGGGGTCAGGAGCACTCCACACAGAACAGGATTGGGCCCTGCTGCTCAACACAAGACCCTGGGCCTCCCAACATGTTCTACTGAAGCCCGGCAGCAACAGCAGCCAGCAAGATGTGTCAAGCAGCTCCAGGGGCTTGTGCCAGGTAGTGAGGCCCAATCCTGTCCTCTGTGGACAGCTCCCATCCCCACTGCCTGGCACATCCTGCCAAAGCCCAGAACCAGTGGCAGCCAGTAAGACACACCAGGCAGCCCCAGGGACTTGTGCTGGGCAGGAGGGCCAATCCTTCTTTCTATATTAGACCCCAGCTCAGGGAGCCAAGACTGGGATGGGGGGGGGGGGGGCTTCTTTTCCTTTTTCCCCCGGCAGGGAGGGGTTTTTGGTTGGCCCGGCTGGGGGGGGGGGGGGGGGCTTCTTTTCCTTTTTCCCCCGGCAGGGAGGGGTTTTTGGTTGGCCCGGCTGGGGGGGGGGGGGGGGGGGCTTCATTTCCTTCTTCCTCCTGCATGTCAGTGATTTATGCTGGCCCAGCTGTGGGGGTGGGGAGTCACCCTGCAGCTAGGTAGACCAGAGCTGAGGAAGGTCCTGGGCTGGTCAGGGGAAACCACAGAGATTGGGGCTCCCCCCACATGGGCAGAGGCCAGCCAAGGAGGGAAAAGTTGGGGGAAAAGGGGAGGAAAGAGACTCCTTTCCCCCTCCCCACAGCAGGTCAGTGGTTTGTGGCAGCCTGTCCCTGGCAGGGAAGAACAGGGGAGAAAGAGACGGGCAACCCTCGGAGACCAGAGCCGGGGGCCCTGTTCTCCACATCTCCTCCCCCTGTTGCCCTGCAGGGTTGACAGGCGCAGGCAAGACACAGCTTGGAGGCATAGGCACTGATGTTTCCACTCTGTGACAGCCACGGGAAGGGGCCGGCTCTAGCTCAACCACAGCAGTCAGCACAGCTGAGGCTAGCCTGCCTGTCCTGTGAGGGAAACCAGTATGTGGCTCCCAATGCATCTTAGGATGCTGGGTGACTGGGGCATGACCTGAATTGGGAAGAGATCTGGCACAGAAGTTCCATAGATCGGTTTAACATAAATCAGTTCAGTCTGATACTACATCCATTCAGGTTTACCTTAAACAGGGTTCAGCCATTTTAAAAACAGATGTGCACTGAGCTTCTGTTGTGTTACAGGTTTAAACCACTTTCTTATCACTTATACCAGTTTAAGTATAACTTCTGTCCCTAGCTGAGAAGATAACTCGTGTCAATTTCTGTAAACAGATCTGAAACAGCCAATAAGAGTTTCTACACTGCAAAACTGGATATGCAGCATTTCCAAAGGGTAATGAATATGCTAACCTGAATGGTTCCAAAGGGTAATGAATATGGTAGTGCAGAAAATAATGCACTACCATTGAGATTAGCGAGTCTTATGTTAAGTAGAGAAAAGCTTTCTTTTAGGTTTTGAAAAATTTACATTTTACCTCAAGGATGGAGGTTTACTATAATTGCTATTTTAAATCTTTACGCATATTCTAAATGATACTTAAGACATGAACACAACTTTCAGTGGTAAGAGGCTCCCTTACCTATCTGCCTGAATGGTCTCTTTAACAGTTTTAAAAAATTCAAAATAGTAAGTCACAGCAATGGACGCTAAAATCCAGAATGCAGAGTGAATGTTAAGTCTGGGAAGAGGCTTCTCTTTTTTCTCTAGTGTTGTAGATTCTTCTGTAAACAAAGAATATTATTACACTTTTATAATGTGTCATTGGACAGAGAGACATTTTCAAACAAAACGTAACACTTAATCCTTCTGATTCATTCTTCTTGGGAGATTGATGTATTCAATATAAAAAGATGTTCTGCATTAAAGACTAAGCACCTAAAAGGCTCTGCTCATTTCCTGAAATAATATAAAAAATAAACAAGGTGTCTTTTGATTAAAACAGAAGGCATTAACAATAGGCGTAAACTCTGTTTGTGTATCTTTCCAGAAAATTAGCATCTGCTTACATTACTGAAAATTGTATTTAACTACTTACAAACCCGTTATTAAGAAAACATATTTAAATTTGCTATAAATATCAGAGGGAAAGGTAAAGCTGACTGCTTCACTTGCTAATTTCTTTGCTTCCATTTTCATTAATTTCAATGTTTGCAAACTGACCTTCCCCATAGATCATGTTCATGTTCCTACAGGTAACTGATTTAATGTCACATGCCAAATTTAGTTATGCTAACTGTAAGTATAGCAGACTACCATAAAAGAACGATTATGTAGAAATCTACCTAAACATTTTCTACTATTCTCATCATGTGAAGAGCCAAGTGTCTAGTAAACATGAGATCAACTGGAAGAACAGGCGGTTTTGCAGGCAGCAGTACATTTGCATGTGGTGTTGAAAGCTCAACTCATCAAGCCTAGAACACATATTCTGGCACTGTACATATGGCAACATAAGGCAGATGGCAAGGTAGAGCAACACTTTAAAGATTAACTGGTTCGGAGAAGTACGAGTATTTTGAAAAGTACATTATTGCCCACAAAAGCTCATGCCTGAGTCAGTCAGGTGCCACTCTGCCCTGGCTTCTGCCTGACTTGACTAACATGGCTAGCCACCATTGCCAAAATAAGAGGGAAACCGAACTAGTGCGAATATTTTGTAAACTGTTTCACATTTTAAACCTCTTTTCTTAGCACAAGGCCCCTGGTTCTAAACAGTAAGTAGCACTCAAAGTAATGAATTCTCTTCTTTGTATTTCTTCTGCAACTCGCATTGAGAACCACAATGTCAGGTTAACAAATACCAATCTCTCTCACAGAAACTTTAAAGAGGTAGAGCCGGAAGGGACCTCTAAAGGTGATCTAATCCAACCCCTGCCTGAGGCAGCATCATCCCTATCCGAACCATCTTGTACAATCATGTTCTTATGACTACGCTCAGCCCTGACAACACAACACCCTAACCTGCCACAGGTAAAGTAGGGATATCCCAGCAACCACCATGCTGCTTCTGTAAAAGGTTGTTAATATCTGCTCAAGAGAGCCCCCGTAGAGGGACCCCCTCCCCCCTGCTACACAGGAAGGCAAAAGCCACCACTGTCCATACCAATCCGACCATGGGCTCAAATTCTTTCCTGGCCCCAAAACAGGCAACCTTGAGCAGATGGGCAACACCCTCCAGCCACGAAGGTCCAGCTTTAGTCCCAGCTGAAGTACTGGCATGGCCCGGTCAAAATCCCCAAACTTGGCTACAGTCCACACCTCTGGGGGAGGCCTAGCAACACCCTAGGGGGCTTTTCAATTGCAAGGCACCTCTCAGAAAGTGCTAGCTCTCAGCTTTCACTCTTTTTGTTTGGAGTGTGAATAACAGAGCAGGTTTTCTGATGCAGGAAGACCCCCTAAAGTCTGGACGTGTTCCATGGCGAGTCCTACGTCCGAGTCCGGCCCAGATAAGCCCACCCTCCCGGGAAGGGCCGCGGGACACCCGCCGCTCCCCGCCCAGCCCAGCCCAGCCCGGAGACACCGACCGGCCGCGCCGCCGCCGTCCTGAGGGGGCTGCAGCAGCGCGCCCGACTCCGCCTCCTGCCGCAAGTGGCGCCGGAGCCGCAGGAAGGGATCTCTCTCGTTCAGCGCGCCCTCCATTTTGGGCGGCCCGGAAGTGACGTGTGTTAAACGCCGGACGTGTCTCTGGAGGAGAGGATAAATAGCAGCGTGGCGGTTTTGTCCGTTATTGTGGAGGGGCTATGGTGTAGGTTAGTCTCCTGCTTCCCTACTCGGCCTTGTCTGTGAGTGAGGGGCCCTGATCCTCCCCGTGCCCCACTCCCGGCCCGGCCGTGCCCGGGGCGCTCCGGACAGGCAGCCCGATCGCGGCATCTTGTGTCACTACAAACTGGCGCGTGTCCTCGGCCCGTCAGGGAGGGGAGGGAACAGTGCGGGTACGCGGCGACAGCTTGAAGCCTCTTTCTCTGGGTCCCAAAGGCAACCCTGTAGCGACCTGCCTGGGCCAACAGAGCCCCAAATGTCCTGTGCTGACCGAGTTAAAGAGACTTGTGCCATAAGTGATCTCCTCTGCTTATCTGTTCCCCCGCCCCTTGTCATCCCTTGTAAGATGCAGAGGATATCTAGACCCTACTTGCATCTCCATCCCTTCAGGCTGGTCGTAGTAACATTGATATTTTCTGGGGTGTAGATATGGGATGGTATCCAGCAGAGGTTTTTTTGCACCTAGTTAGTTACTCTCACTTAAGAAGGTGGTTGTGGAAATCATCCTAGAGAAGGGACCTGTAGGAGTTGCTGAGTCCACCCCCTGCCTGATGCAGGATCCCCCCTGCCCAAGCCATTCTCTCCCTGTCCCTGTCCAAGCCAGGGTTTCTCAAGGTGTGGATTGTGACCCAAAAGTGGATTGCAAGAATATGTAAAAGGGCTGCAAACAAACTTTTAAAAATGGATTCTCCTTTAAAGGGGAAAAAGGTGGGAAACCAGGGGTTTTCCCTTGTTGGCCCCCCCTACCCCACACATGGGAGGCTGGCACCTGGGGGGCAGCAGGTTGGGAGCAAGGGGTATGGGCAGGGCCAGGGGGCAGTTTTCTACTTAAACTATTTACTGGGTAAGGATTGGTCATGATGTTTACAAATGGGTCCCGGTACAAAGAAGGTTGAGAACCATGGCTCCATTATCTGAACTCTACGTAAGACCATCGTCTCTTGTTTGAACCGGTTTACATTTCAACTTCCAATCATGTTGGATCATATAATACTTTCATCTGCTAGGCTGAAGAGTTCTCTGTTACTTAACTTCTGTTAACAAATGTAATTACTAACAGATGGGGATCAAGCCATTCCTTTACATTCTCTTTGTTGAAATTAAATGGATTGAGCCTCTTGAGTCTCTCTCAGTACAATTTGCTGCTTCAGTCCTTGAACTATTCTTGTGGTTCTGATACAAATCCTTCACACTCACCAACATCGTTTTTGAATTACTGGCATCAGAACTGGACACAGTATTTCTGTAATGCCAACACTAGTACCAAACAGAGAGGGTAATATAACTCTTGTACTCGCATTTCCCTATTAATCCAAGGATCCAAGGATCACAGTAGACTTACCGGCATAATCTAGCATTAAGAGCCCATGCTTAGCTCATATATCCATCCTAGAACACTTTTTATCAACTGAAGTATTTAATATAATCATCATCATCGTTATTGGACTGTAACTATTAGGATGGTTATTTTTGATGAAGTACTAAAGGACTTGGTGTTCCTTTAATTTTTAATGGGATTGATGCACTTAACTACCTCAAGCTCCTTTAGAAAAATCCCATTTGTATATATGTTCTATGAAATCTTAACTGTGAAATAGTTTTGCAGTTGACTTTAGGGGGCCAGGATTTTACAGTTTCATGTCAGACAATCTTTGTTATATGATTGCACAGCTTAACATGGTGAAGTTGGGGCCTCCAAGTACTGCAGTAATAAAGGTCAGGGTTGTCCAACTGGTATGTGCAGCCCGTGAGATGCCAGCTTGCAACCCACAGGCTGCTGCAACTATATCCCCTACTACTGAATGGAGGGGTTGGGGAGACTGTGCACCGCTGGCACTGCCCATGCAGCAGGGGGTCTGTGCACTGCTGTAGCTGCATGTATAGTGCTGGCATGACAAGGCCCCAGTCTGGTTTGTCACTTAGCTCCATTCTCTTTACCCTTACTTCTAGACTCTCTGGGTCCTCTGCCCCACCCTCCAATGGTTATCTTGCCTGCCACAACTTGATGTTATAGTTTCATGTAACATCAAGAGGCAGAAGCAGGTTTGGGGGTAGGTCTTTGTCTAAACTAAGGCTCTTCCTGTGTTGGCAAACTTTTAATCAGGCTGGGTCCTGTGGCCCAGGATCCACCACACCAGGACTGTAGGTTCTCAGACTCCAGCTCCAGCCCTACTGCAGGTTCCCAGTCACTCAGCCCCTAGGTTTACCCCTGCAGGTACAGGGATTATGTTCCCCCCAGTCCTTGCTGCCAGATACTCAGTCCCCTGACACGCTACAGTCCCTCTGAAACTTATTTGGATTCCTGCCCATGCACAACACCCCAGGATTCCAGGCACTAGGAATGCTCTGAGCAGCATCACCCAGCTCAGAGCAATCTCTTTGCAATCTTAGCATTGAACAGAGATTAGAAAGGAGAAAAACCATTTTTCCTGGAGTGGGATAACACATTATGGCCAAATCCTGAATACCTTTCTTTGGGTCGGATTCTTTAGAATCTAAATCCTAGCTAGGTATCTTTTACCAAATGTAGCACTAGCTTCAAGAGCATAAATGTGAAATTATTATAATAAAAAATAGCTTTGCAGTTCCACGTACATCTTTCCTGTATGAACTGCATGAATTAATTTGTGATCTTACATTAACAGTAGGGTTGCCAACCCTCCAGGATTGCCCTGGGGTCTCAAGGAATTAGATCTAAATCTCCAGGAGATTGTTGAGAGTCACCCAGGAGATGACTGATAGGACATTCATTAAAATGAATATTATATGTTAAATCCAATTTATACAGTAGTCCAGTGGGTTTTTAAAATGTAGTAGTAATGCCTTCCTGACGTAGTCTTCTCAGTACAGTAGATCAGTCATTAATGTCATTACGTCATGTGATGAAACCTCCCAGAACAGACTCAAATAGAGTTGGCAACCCTGATTAACAGAGGCTTTTGCCAACCTCATTTTGCAGTCTCATTCACTTAGAATAAATGTAGAGCAAAGGTCTAGATACAACAGGAGTCAAATATAAGGGTGTAGGGAGTTATGAGAACTGGGAATCCTGTAATACTGTGGGAGAAACCTATAATTGAATTTAATAACCAGGTTCTCGATACTGAAACAGAAGATAAAAAGAAAAGTTAAAGGAAATCTAATGAAACAGTACAATAGATTGCCTCTGTTTCAACTCTTAGTATATAAATTATCTTTTAAATAATCACTTTTGGTAAATTCACATAAGCACATTTCAATAAACACAGCAGTGGGGTTCCTTACTTTTATAGTTCCTTTTTTACTTAAGCATAAGGACTAAAGCCAAAAATAATCAAATGGAACAGATAAAAATATCTTAGTTCAGGGTCATCCTTGGTGTTTTTTTATGAAGCCTGTAACCTTTTTATACCATAATACCTTTTATGATCTATTCTTTGAATATATATCAGCAATGAAGTAATCAGATTTTATTGGGGGTTTTTTAGAAATGTAAATTAATATTTTAACAGTTATAATTCATAATTAATAAGAAAGGTTAATTATATTTCATTCTTTGATTATTTATTTGGTACTGACAAATTCTGCAGTCTTCATCCAGGCAAACCTTGAATGCTGTCTTTTCTATTCTAGTATTTTAAGCACACAGTATTTTTTTGGAAGATCACATTAATCTCTGGAGGTCCTTCAGGTCTAAAAGGAAATGGGCAATTAGTTATGTGCAGTTAGATTAAATCAATGGTGTGCAACCTTTTTGCCCAGCAGGCCAGATAGGCAGTGCACCATCCATTGGTGGGCCAGATCCAGCCAGTGGTCCTGATCCTGTGCCTGAAGGTGTGGTGTGAGGTCCCATTCAGTTGCACAGAGATGGGGAAGGGGCCAACCCAGCTCTGATGGGGACAGTAGGCGAGGCCCAGCCTGTTACAGTTCCACAAGTGCCAGGGGGTCCAACCTCCTCACAGGGCTTGGGAATTTCACAATGTGGGAGGGTGGCAATATTAATTGGCACTGCTTCTCCGCTGCCAAATTTTCTGACCCATAGGGAGTCCCATGGACCAGATGATTTCATAGATTTCATAGACATTTGGGCTGGAAGGGACCCCGGAGGATCATCAAGTCCAGCCCCCTGCCCCAGGGGCAGGAAGTCAGCAGGGATCACAGGATCCCAGCAACATAAGCATCCAAATGTGTCTTGAAGGCATTCAGAGTGGCTGCTTGAACTGCCTCTGGCAGCAGTCTATTCCAAAACTTGGGGGCTTGGACAGTGAAGAAGTTCTTTCTTATGTCCAGTCTGAATCGGTCACAGTGGAGTTTGTGACCGTTCGATCTTGTCATCCTTTGGGGGGCTCTGGTGAACAGACATTCCCCCAGATCCTGATGAGCACCCCTGATAAATGTATAGGTGGCCACCAGATCACCCCTGAGCCTGCGCTTTTCCAGGCTGAATAGCGCCATTGCTCTCAACCTCTCATCATAAGGTCTGTTTTCCTGACCTCTGATCATGCACATGGCTCTCCTCTGCACCTTCTCAAGCTTCTCCACATCCCTTTTGAATTGTGGAGCCCAAAACTAGACGCAGTACTCCAGCTGCGGCCTCACCAAGGCCGAGGACAGTGGGAGAATGACGTTCTGGGATCTGCTTAAGAAACATCTGTGGATGCAAGGCAGTGCTTTGCTCGTTTTACTAGCAACAGCATCACACTGAAGGCTGATGTTCATCTTGTGGTCAACCATGACCCCCAAGTCCCTTTCATCTGTAGTGCTAACCAGCGTAGCACTACCAAGCCTATAAGCATGCTGGAGGTTTTTCCTCCCAAGGTAGAGAACCTTGCATTTTTCAGTGTTGAACACCCTCAGGTTCTCATCTGCCCATTTCATAAGTCTGTCCAGATCCACCTGGATCACCCTTCTATCCTCAGGTGTGGATGCT